AAGTGTACATATTTAGAGGCTGAAAATGCCACTATAAATGTTGTCTTCTGCACAAATGGAGCACTGAGCAATGACTCAGGACTGGGACTGATCAAGCATTAAATAACAAATTGATGGAAGTTTAAGGAGAAAAAAAACGTTTTGTAGTCATTTCATCCTTTTGTAGTCTTTTAAAGTTGTAATTACCTGAATTCTAAAGGAAAATAAACAGGAAAATAGGTACATAATTCATAATTTAATTTATTTTCAGGCAAGTTAGATCTTATGATCTTGAAAGCAATTGAAAACTACTGGATAAAGTAGTTTTGAGTGTCCTTTGGAAGTGGTTTGTGTGAATTTTAGGCTTAAGGTTATCATATTGGAATGACCATCTAAACTGCTTCATGTGCAGTCACTAACATTTAACAGGCCTAGAATGAAAAGTGAATGTATATTTACTAATTAAGCACTACATGAATATAAAACATTTTTTATAGGTCATCTCATTGCTGTCAAACATTGGTTTGATATAAAGTCTACTTTTGAAAAGACCTACGGTACAGTACCACAAGGTGGTGCATTTTTTTGTGATTTTGTTGTTGACATGGAAATTATTCTTAATAACCCTGTGCTTATGCAACCCTGTGCTTATATATATAGGCTATGTATATGCCTCTATTAAGTATTTAACATAACAGAGTTTTCTTGAACCAGCAGCTTATTTATTTTGCCAGAAAATGATTATTAGACAGCTATAATTGATATTGTCCATCTGTTCAAATTGTCGGATCTATCCAGTTAGATCCCAGCTTTGGGGCAAAGGCTTGTAAAACTATTTTGTTATCTTTTGAGTTGCAGATCTGCAGAGTACGAAACACAGCAGTCATTTATCAGCTAAATATTAACTGCTAACATATCATTTATTAGTACATTAGTGCATTTTTAATATTAGGATTATCAGCACATGAAAGCAATCAGTCATGTTACTAATAAGAGGGGTGCCACAATGTTCCTAAATAAACAGTACAATAGCTAGCACATTTATAATTTTAATTAAAATACATATTAATAGTATGATGTGTGTAAATATATGTGACCCTGGACCACAAAACCAGTCATAAGGGTCAATTTTTTTCGAAATTGAGATTTATACATCATATGAAAGCTGAATAAATATGCTTTCCATTGATGTATGGTTTGTAAGGACCATATTTGGCCGAGATACAACTATTTGAAAATCTGGAATCTGAGGGTGCAAAAAACTCAAAATATTGAGAAAATCGCATGCATATTACTAATCAAAAATTAAGTTTTAATATATTTACAGTAGGAAATTTACAAAATATCTTCATGGAACATGATCTCTACTTCATATCCTAATGATTTTTGGCATAAAAGGAAAATCAATGTACCCACTGTATATATAGAGAGAGAAAGAGAGAGAGAATTTATTTATTTATTTACTTACTCATTTACTTTTTGCACTACAAGAATAAGAGCACACACTGACCCTAAATCTCAGGTTATATATGAATATTAAAGCAAAAAAAAAAACCTGCCTATAACCATAACTATGTTTTCCCCAATATGCAAACTTTTAAACACGAGGTGTTCGGTAGGTAACTCATTCAGACATCAGCTGAAGACTGGAATGTTAATAAATAAATCTGGCTGCGTTAAAATCAGATAAGCAGATTAAAAGCCGTTTTACTCTTTTACTAAAGAGGCCTGAACCTTAAATCAAATATTCATCTTTAATGATTTTTAGTTAAGGTGTATTATTTAGCAGGAGAAGTTTCCCCTTGGTGCTTGCATCTTTTGGACATGTGATCCTAAGATGAAGGAGCAACTGTGCTATTTTTGATCTCCTTTTCTCCTGAAGTTGACTGGGGTGCTGATATATTGATCTTTAAGTTATCATATATTGAAGCAAAATGAAAGACAGCTCTGAAAATTAAGAATAAATTAGATAAATTAAAGCAAATGCATAAATTTGAGAAGAGGCTGCAAAACAATATCCAAGATTTTGGATGCACAGGGCCCTTCTGGTTCACTTAACAGAGAGTGGAAGCTATATACTGTACATGCCAACTTTTTACACAAAACTTTCCGAGTGAAGACATTGCTCAATACTCCATAGAAGTATGGTGGTAATGGTGTCATGTAAAGCTTTCCATTAGTCTAGGCAGTTTGAGAAAATAGAGGAAATAATGGATGGTACATAATACCAGGAAATCCTACAAGAAAACAACTATCAGTTGAAGCGATCTAAATGCAGATTGATGCATGTAGTGCTATTTAAGAAATGAAGGTAAATAAGTGATACTTTGTATTCACATATGCAATTACTTTGCATATGCGAAGCTGGAGCACTTTTACCTTTTAGGTCTGCTAAGTGGCTATTTCAGTGGAAGAGATCTTTTGTTGATTTAAGAACTTATCTTTGTAGATAACTTTTTTGTTCTATCAGTGTATTGCTGTGCAGTGTGAAGTTATTTTTTAATTATTACTATTCTGGCGTTGAATACATTATGCGTCAAGGTGATGCTGGCATTTTGACACTTTGAAGTTGGGCATATTTTGTAAACTGCTGTGAGAACTTCATGTCTTTTTTATTTCATGGCATCCAGTGGTTGTATATAATTGTAATGTTTTTAATGTGTATTGCTGATAAAAAGAAAAAAATCACACAAGACATAGTTTTAATCTGTATTTTAAAAAGTCCTACATTTTGGTAAAAGGCTAAAAAATGGCTAAACTAATTATTTATAATCTGCATTTATTTGAACCTCCTAAGGATTATTTGACATTTTCTGAGGGTTAAGCAACTACTTTCATGATCATTTGCTAAAAAGAGACAAAATATGTTATGGGAAAAGGTTATGTTTTAAAATTTGCTGTTGCAACATTTGCATTTTTAAGTAGCCTACTGATTTTCTTTTTGAGTTGAGGCAATTTCAAAAAGTCATCTGACTATCATATCTAATAGTGTAGTACACTCTTAAGAAAAATGGTTCTAAACTGTACCATAAAAAAGTTCTTCAGCTTATAACAATAGCAGAACCCTTTTTGGGTTCATGCTTTGAAAATGCTATAGGACCTTATTGGTGTTATAAATAAACTGTTTAATGATAGTTTATCTTCACTGATATTAGTATATCAGTAAATTTGTATCATTAATATTAGAATTATTAATATTATTTGTATTTATTATTATTATTATTTTATTTTATTTTTTTACCCCTCTATCTGCCTGGTTTTATAATATCTTGTAGCCTGTATTAGGGTTTTACATAAAAACAACAATGACAGTGCTCTAACAACAGTTATTAGCAGAATATGTTAATAAATGACAACTGACATTGAACATAAATAAATACTTAAAGAAGTAAAACAAAATAGAAACAGAAAATAGTGTGATGAAAACCAAGTTCTAGTGAAACTGTGTTTTTATAATCTATGATGCCTTTAAATCCATCATTGTGTGTATTTTGGTGGGATTGAATGGCAGTTTCTCTCTGCAGATGATGTGGTTGTAAGATGTGACAGCATCTGAAATGCACAATTGAGTTTAGAGTTACAATATGTCTCTTTCCATTGGTTTATGTAAAAACAATTGTTTATGAAGGCCAAACATAGCATGTGAGCGCCTCACAATGTTAAATGGAAAAAGTGATAAAAAGTCACGGGATAGCTGTGACTGGGCATGTTTATGCATAAACCCAAGTAATAAATAAACAAATTCTTTATTACCAAATTCTTTATTACCCCCCCCAGGGTAAACAGAACAGAACCAACATAAATGTATGCAGATATCGTTAAAGTTCAATAATGTTATGTACACATTTTAGAATTAGTCTGATTCAAAGGAGAATCAGAAGGCTGAATCCTGACTGACAGAGGAGGAGTTGGGGATGGAGGAGGGGAATTAGCTGTTGAGCAATGCAAAAACTGCTGATACTACTGCGGGACCTTATATATGAATGCTTAGATAGGTGTCGTATTCCCATAGGTTGATGGGGATCAGCTGAGAGTCAGCTGATGCGAGCTTGACTAACGTGACCTGCCAGAACTAACGCTACGCTTGATTAATGAGCCGTCTTTTTTTTTTTTTTTTTTTTTTAAGAGTGTAGCCTCTATTAGGGGTTTACATTAAAACAGCATGTTGTGTGAATTAGGTCATTTTTATTGAGGTGAAATTGTAGCAAACATGTCGGTGCCCTTAACAACAGTTATTAGCTGAATACATTGACACTGAACATGAATAAATACATAAAGAAGTAAAACACAAAACATAAAAAAATAAAAATAGATGTGATGAAGACCAAGTTCCAGTGAAATATCTTCAGAGTCCTCTATGATGCCTTTAAGTCCATCATTTTGGTGTGAATGAGTGGCAGTTTCTCCCTGCAGGTGATGAGGTTGTGGATGTGATGCAGATGAAATAGAAAATTGAGTTTAGAGTTACAGTGTGCACATTATTTAAGAACAGTTATGTTCACAAAAAGTGGACAGTATGTGAGCCCTTCATAATGTTAAAAGAAAAAAACGATATAAAGTCATGGGATAGCTTTAATGTTTTTGTGTGTGTGTGTGTGTGTGTGTGTGTGTGTGTGTGAGAGACTACAAAAAGTGGACAGTATGTGAGCCCTTCATAATGTTAAAAGAAAAAAACGATATAAAGTCATGGGATAGCTTTAATGTTTTTGTGTGTGTGTGTGTGTGTG